CCATCTATGCCAGTCTCTTATTATAGTGTCTCTAGCCTAAAGATAATCGAAGTTGGTTGAAGTGGCTCTCAATGAGTTGGCAAGTTGGCAACATTATTGGGATCATAGGCAACTTCGAGACATTACGAAGAAAGAAGTGGTGTTTATTCTCAGTGTTAACGTTAATTAACTGGTTGACATATCGACTTGATATCGTGAGTGCAGTGGTCAGCTGTGGTCAGTAGATTATTATGGATCAAGAAGACTATTTGACGATACTGAAAATTCTTATGATAGGCGAATCCAACGTAGGGAAATCGAGGTAATTTGCAAAGTACAATTCATTCTCGCATCGAAATTATAATCGGTACTACGTCATTTTCAGCATACTCCTGAGGTTCACTGAGGATGAGTTCTACGAAAACATGCAGAGCACAGTCGGGATGGACTACAAGACAAAGCAGGTTACCATCGACGGCAACGTAGTGAAACTTGCTATTTGGGTTTGTAATCGCGATTTTATTTTTGTGACGGGAGAATAATTTAATCTATGCAGTATATTATGGATTTGTTAAAGCGCGCTATTTACAGGACACCGCTGGCCAGGAACGATTTCGCACATTAACACCGAGTTATTACAGAGACGGCCAAGGTGCTATCCTAATGTATGATGTTACAGATCGAAATACCTTCGTGAAATTGGAGACATGGCTCAATGAATTGAATACATACTGTAATAAAACGGATATCATCAAGATGGTAGTAGGCAATAAAATAGATCTGTCAAATAGAGAGGTGAGCACCGAAGAAGGTCTACAATTTGCTAGAAGGCATCAGACTCTATACATTGAGAGTAGCGCAAAAACGGCAGATGGCGTAAAATGTTGCTTTGAGGAACTTGTACAAAAGGTACGTCAGAATTTACACTAGCAACTATTATAATTTTATATAATACATTTCTCAGTGAAGATTACAATTACTAAGTAATTAAAAATGTTCTGTTTTTATAGAATCACAAAGTTTAGTACATATGATGTAAAAGATTTAATAGATTTCATTACAATGCCAGTGACATTGAGCATTGCAGAGTCTACTTATAAAAAAAACACTTTATAAAATTCAAACCCTTGTTAAGATCTGATAATCATGATATTAAAAAACTCAATGGCATGCATAAAGATACATGTCTCGTCCCCCTCTTCCCACCCTATGCCGGTGGATCATTTATAACTGATTATCATTACAATTTATTATTTATTACATTTTTACTTATTTAAGTAATTACTTGGAATAACTTCATCACCTCAAATCTTAATAAAAATATACTTGTTCGATGCATATTTTCTCAAAACGAAAGAATCTAGCAGAAAAACGCGGTGGTCTGTTTTGCGAAACAGTTATTAAGAGCTAAAGTTTAAGTTGTTTTACGAGAGAAACTGCTGCATTTTTCTGTCAGATTCTTTTGTTTTGTGTAAATACGAACGAGTATATTTTTATTAAGATTTTTTTAAAGCGAGGAAGCGATTCTAAATAATTGCCCTTATTTATAAAGCTATGTAAAATATGATATTGTGCATGTAACAGATTATACAAACACCTGGTCTTTGGGATACTTATTCTACACGACTGTATGACAACGGTAATATAGGTGGTGCAAGGCATCGAATGGGAAAGAGAGGAATGCAATTGACTAACGATCATCAACAGCAAGATACGTATTCAAGCTGTTATTGCAGTTTGCTGTAATCGTCTGTGAAAAGTATGTGTGCTGATAACGATAGTGTATACAATGTGTTAAGTTTGAAAATATTACGCGAAAAGTAAAGTTCGAGGGATGCACATTGAGTGTAATTCGGAAAAGATCAAACTTAATCGGTCACCACTTCATACAAGCTATATATTCAGTTTGTGCGAAACTTATCCGAAGATAAGATAACTTATCCGAAGATGGGCTTGTACATATTTGCCTATATTAAGTACACATCTAAACGTACAAACTATCGTTAGAGACTAAGTTGAATCTGGCTTAGAAATCTATGATGTTGAGCAAAATTTTGTGTTCGTGTAAATATATAATTTACAAATACTAAAGAAATGCTCGTAGACACACTCAAGACATTTGTATGGACCCTAGTCGGTAGCAGTGTGTGCTGATCACGTTTTTGTACAAGTGAATTCGAACATTTTTATAGTCTTTTCGATTGTGTTTGACGTTTTATATTTTACACATACGTGCGCTTGACGCATATCATTGTTACAATTAAAAAACATGTAATATAATGTAAAAATATATCTAAGGATGTTGTTTCATTACTTTGTCAATTGTGTGTGCTAATTTGTAGGTTCCATAATATGTATCTCTTATTGGAAATATATACACGCCGAGAAAGTGGTGAGTATATATTTTATATAGAGATCTTAATATAATTATACATGTCCGTATAACAAATCAAACTCCTTATAAATCAAAAGAACTAGGAAAGAACATGGGCAATAGGAGTCAAACGCGGAAGATGTTGCGTAAATAATACGACTATAAAGCATAAAACTTCTTTATTTTTTAAATAAACGCACTGCATTATTCCTATTGCCCATGTTCTTTCCTAGTTCTTTTGATAATTATGGTATACATGATAATGATATTTAGTGTATCTCAGAATTCGTATATACAGAATGTAATTCTTTGTCGGAAGAAACAACTTCATCCTTTGACAAAATTATATTCTAGTAATAATGTTTGAATGAGTAATTTAAAGTTAACGAAATTTAAAGCGCTCTAAATTACGGAATTAGAGATAGCGTGTGTGCTGGATATGTTATGTTACTTCTTCTCTAAAGATTTCAAAATAACTAGACATGATACCTAAATATCAACACTATTTAGAATACAATTTATTTAATAAAAAATAGGTATTACATCTGTCAATGATTGGATGCGTGGACTGGCGTGAGCCTTATTTTGAGCCTGCGTATATCTTTGGCAAATTTTTAGCAGCATTTAAAAGGACAGAGAATATGCAAACATACATTTTGAATCGCAAACCAATTTAAATTGTAACAGAGGATAGTTTGTGATGCAAATTGTATATTGGCATATTCTCTGCTTTAATTAATTAAAAATATGAATTTTCTAATATTAAGTTGTTTTTTTTTACTATTATTAAGTTGTTCGACTGAATCTCATTTTATATTTAATTTATAACAGGGTATCAATCATGAAACTTTTTTTATAGGATGAAAAGTAAAAAGTGAAAAATTTTTTCTAGGGATAAAGTTTCATGATTGATATACCCTGAACTGATATTATTAATTCATAAATGACAACATTAATGAGCATGCGCAGTTGTAAAATGTCATTAAATTATCATTTTTCAACTTACCGACACAAAAAAACTTTGAAATTAAATAATAAGAAAATGAACTTGAGCGACGATTTTCCGTCTCGGAATATATTCTACGCATGAAAATGAATAAATTTACAAAATTACAGAAAAATCGAAGGGGGAGAGCTATACTGAACATTTACCTATATTTAATATTTATGGTTTTAAGAAATCTTTTAAACATTTATTTTACTTTCAATGATATCACAGTTAAAACATTTTTTTTATTATCCACAAATCGTAATAGCGATATTTAAATATCATGCATCAGTCATTATGAAATATTTCCAAGTAAAAGTATATATACGTTCAGCGTGCATCACCACTGATTCATAAGCGCAATTTAGAGCGCTTATTTAGAGATTTAAATTGTTGTTATTAAAAACTACTTAAATCTAATTTTGTTAGAGGAAAAAGTTACTTCTTTACCAAATAGAATCCGTACAGTGCATTCCGCGAAAGATTACGAATTTCTGAGAAGCTCTATATAAATTATATATTATAATTTATTTATTTGTGTAAATAAAGAAAACATTTTTTCTGTATATGTAATATTATTATTTTAATATTAAAAAAGATGTCACACACACACATGCACGCGCGCGCGCGATGAACGATCATGATGAACGATAATCAATCCATAACAATTGCCAAAATAATTAGCTTGCATTTTGACATTTATAATGTCTCCATAAAATGATTTAGCACTTAGGTACTTTCTTAATTTGTATAATTTATTTGAAAATGTCAGATATGCAAAATATAACAGGAGAACAGGCGTTATGTGAGACAAAGTTATATATAAAATTGACAAATAAAGGAATGTTTATTTACGGTGGATGGAGTAACGATAGGTTACTCAATTTGCTAAAGGACAAACTTGTGCGACGTAACAATATTAAATCCTTATCCACGTGTACTGATGCGCGATGCGATAAATTATTACATTTTATTATCCACAGTGGAATGTATAATGAATGTATTTTACTGAAATTAGAAGAAAAAGGTATCAAGATTTTCTCATGGGAATTTCTATGCATTTCATTATTTATCGTTCTATTACATTGAATAGTAAATTTTAGGCATGTCTTCACAAAATATTGTGAAGGCAATGAAATATGGTCTCCTCAGACTTACTTCTGAGGAACTGAAATATTTCGAAGATTTTGGAACAGAAATAAACTCAGATACATGGACGAAGAAACTTGACGATAAATTAATTTGGAATCTGGCTGCTACTGGATTAACTGAAGATCAATGTTGGACTATTGTTACATGTGGACTGGTGTCTCAAGATGAAAGTATATTGTATCGGCTTTTATCGAGTGGCATTGATGTTCCAGGAATTTTAAATTGGCAGGGGAAAGTTAAACCGATTTCACCAACAACAATCCGTTTTCTGAGAAAGCTTGGGATCGATGAAGATACTTGTAATTATGTAGAAGAGAATGGTATCGATGATGAGATAGAAGATATTCTAATTGATCTTGGATACAATGAATATAAGAAAAAAGAAGCTTTGGAAGTAACCGAGGTGTCTTATAATTAATTTCAAGGAATATTAGATAAAGCGCATATAGAAAAATGAATAATCTATTTTGAAATTGAAATAATTAACAGGAAATATTATGTGACTGCAATTTAACGATATTAGAATCATACTCTACTTTTCTGGAAAGAAAAATCTCTGATATTTCATCGAAGACATCTTGTTCTTATAGTTTAGATGAAATGATTTTTTCAAATATTTTTGTCGCAAGCATGCAGTGTAATCCTACCTTGTGCCCTCGTCATTTGAATTTATTGCCGAAAGAACAAGCCAGTAAAACTCTGACAAGAAATGATTATTTGAAGTATTTTATAGCTTTTACAATTATATTAATAAATTTGCATGAAAAAGTATAATATAATAAATTGTATAATACGTATATAAATGTATATATAGACAAAATGTGTTGGTACCACTATCATGGGCGATAAGCAGAGCTTTGAGATATTGTTCATCAGATCCCATACATTATATAGCCTACCAATTGCTACGTTGGAAGTATGGAAATGTCTCACAAGAGGAAGTACATGATTTTCAACAAGTTATCGCTTCTAGTATGATTCTGGATCAAAAGCTTATGGTAAAAACATACATTTAGTATTTTTTTAGTAATAGATAACATTTAATACATAAGCAAAATTGAAATAAAATTGGTTAATATAGAAAGTATCATTTTTAATTTATATAGTTTATAAAATATATAATTTTGTCAAGTAGCAAGAACATAAACGTGAAGGAGAAAACGCTATTAGATGCTCAAATAAAGCTGTTGTGAAAGATATTGCTTATATCATACGTTCAGAACAACAGAAATTGTATCGCATTAAAAAATGTTATTGGAAATGTACAAGAATGCCGATATATGATCAGCTTTTGCAGCAAACAAAAATTAAATTTGCAAGAAGAAGCGATACATTCAATGATGAAAGAATAAAATGTTGCAAAAATTAAAACGAACATTTTCTCTCTTAAAAGCTGCTAATAGGATAAAGGTTTTCGATGGAAAAAATTTCTTAAAAAATTCGTTTATTTCATATTTGGACTTGTACATTAATCGCAAGTTTATCAGAAGAATATTTCAGTGCAAAAATTACACGAGAGTATTACATGGAACGGAATGGAATGAATGTCTGACATCACAATGAAAGATGTTCGTAATACATTCTGGCAGTGATCAGAATTGTAAATTCATTAATATATATGAAATACTAAACGCATTTTCTGATTTATTCTATTTTATTGTGTGTCTCGACCAAACGTTTTTAATGCATCTATGATAGTAATCTCGTACAACACATATATGAGAGAGACGTGTTATATGATTTATTTTGAAAGAAAAACCTTAAAATGCGAAATACGTATAGTCAGTCGCCTGTAAATTTGGGATTCTCTCTCTAATCTAGCAATGAAAAAAATTTACGACTTCCACAGCTCTTTTTTATCACTTTAAAATATATAATATTCATTAATTTTACATAAATTATACGTAAAAATTATTAAAAATAAAATTAAATATATATACTTTCAATGTACGTGACATTTTACATTAAAAAAAAAATTAAATTATCTTCCTATGAAGTTAATAAAACATACCAAAATTTAATTCACATACAACCGTTAAAATATTACCTAGTTGAATGATGGCTTACTCACGTTAATCCTATTCAGGGATTATCCCTGTATTTGCATTGTAAAAAACGATTCCTGCAGATGTAATGATTCAGGTACTACTGTGATGAATCAATTATATAAACTATTTGAATAGATAAATTTATTAAGAAAGCGATAAAAATAAAGGCAGTTACTGTTGAGTTCTACGAATTCACTTTCCAGTTCAACTTCTTCATATGAATAGCTATCTCCATTCCGATGAAAATTACGGCAAACTTTAATAAAATAGCAACGTATCAAAATATATTTTTGTATCTATCTTGTTTGGTCTATTATCCTGAGCTGCTAACAGAATGAGTTTCAAAATGTTACACAGATCGACTTTTCGCGCGTTAAGTAAAAACTGGAAGTACAAAGTATATATATATATATATTGTATATATATATATATATATATATATAGAGTAATATCTAATCCTACATATATCTTTTCTGGACGTTTCATGGCGATCTACTGTCATCGGTCTCGGATATCTTGTTATAAAATTCATCAAAACGTAGCTGTGACTCGTTGAAGGAACGAGAATTTTCCTTCCGATTCGATCATCTGTAGAGTGACTCAATAGAGACTCGTTTACGCACTCGAAAATACTTTAAACAGAATAAACTTGGAGCTTATTAATCTTGGCCCTTTCCTCTTCAGTATCATCTCGGCAGATCATAAGCGTGTGAGATAGACCACATGTAACAGCAGTAATGTATAAACCTTCCAAGGCTTTTACCTCCATCGGAGTCGTCGACGACTTTCGCATTTCACCAAAACCCTAGGAGAAAAATTACATCTTGGAAATCATTTAATTAATGTGATTTGTGTGACTCTATGGTTTTTGCATACTGAAAAATTGGATGTCAGAGCAGTTTCTTATCAAGCAAACGATCTAATTTTGATTCTTGGAATTGCTATCTTGTATATGATTTATACTAATACATATTAAGAACATATTCTACTGATAAAAACAGTATAGACATGAAAAAACTTTTCAAAGGGATGAACTAATTACAATATTGCGACGTCCCTCAGAGGTCAGAAACTTCCAAATAATAATAAATAAATATATATATATATATAAATAAAGTTTTTAAATTTAAAATAAATCTGGTTTAAAATGGAGGTTGGATAAGCAACCTCTTCTCACAAGTATTACAAATTATAACAAAATTAATGAAGAAGATAAGATCCATGTAGGATTGCAGTGCTTTTATATGGATGGCAAGGTTTGATTTAAATTGTAGCTCTATCAAAGAAGAAAATTGAGATATTCTAAATGTAGCCTTAAAAAATATCTTACCAATTCTCCAAACGTAGGACTGGCGCCCCAGGCAATAACGGAGTCGTCGGCCGCAACTACTACACTCGTCTGTGAACAACCAACGCATCGAATCTCCCAACCGGATAGATCTTGGATAGGCTTGGGATACATGTTGGCCTCGCCGGTACGCTTAGTCTGGCCAAACATCAGGGCGGAGCCATGTACGTTGATCGCGATGCTATACGTGCTGCCGCAGTACACCGCACGGACACCGCGACTGGGTGGCTCCAGAAATTTGATTAGACGCGGTACCAACTCGTCGCGTTGCTCGTTGTGACCCAGACGGCCAATCCCACCGAATCCCCAGGAAAACGCACGGTTCTTGCTGTCAATTGCGACCGTGTGATAGTGACCGCAGCTGAAATCGGTAATCTCAACGCGATCCAACGGTACCGCGTGGCCATCCTTACCCCTTTCGACGTATAAAACGATTCGCTTAGGTGCTTTCTCATAATGAAATGCCATTTTTGTATTCGTGACGAAATATTTGCCGTCAGTGTTGTGACCCAGGGCGCCATACTCTGGACATCCGAACGAGTGCAGACCGCCCTTGATATCCAGAATCATCGAGAACTCTGCGCCGCATCCTACTTTCACTATCGGCGGTCCGGAATACTTTACTTTGGTGGCAGTTACGATACAGGGATCGTTCTTCCCGATCCCACATTGGCCCAGTTTATTGTCGCCAGCGGCAAAAACCATCCCACGGCTGGTTAAAAATAAGGTATGGTTACGACCGCATGATGCTCCTATAACCGTGTGTCCTTTTAAAGCTTCGACCTCGGTGGGCTCATCGCGACGCTTTGTGTCTCCGACACCCAATTGACCTATGCAAATTGTTCGGTCTCAGCAATACTATCGATAGAATAAAACCAGCGATGTAATATATACAAATTTAAATACAATCAGATGCTATTATATATTGGTCATATTATTTACTGGTCAAACTTTAACGTTTCTAGGACGTTTCTGAATATAAAGTTCTATCGAGACTCATCTTGTGCCAGTGTAAAATCTATATAGACTTGCAAGTGTTAATCTTCAATAGTAAATAAAATCGTAACTGTGACATCAAGTGACTTTGAATGAAAGAGGTTGACTCATCAGTGGATTCTGAATTTGACCCTGGCCCTAGTCTCGTGTACAGTCTTTGATTTTACAAGAGATTGATTGCAAGTTTGTGATTGAAGTCCAAGATGAATAATAGTCCTTGAATCATCGATGAATAATAGGCTTTGGGAATGCATATTTCAACGAGGAAAAAGGAAATAACAATGCGATATACATTTATATCATAATTATCGTGTATAGAGGCACATATCGCTTACCTTTATCGTTTCTACCAAAAGCCAAACATCTATTATCCTCAGTGACGATAATGCTGTGGGATGCAGCAGGACCGGACGCGATTAGTCGTACTTTTGCGTCATTCAAATTCTTAAAAGTATGCGGTGTCCACAGGCTACGTCCTACATTTGCTTTTACTCCTTTAGGCGGTGCCTTGCGACCAGCCATTTCCCAATTAGTAAGGCCACACATGAGCAATGTTCCAGGCTTGCCCCATCCACCCTACAATATGAAACAGATTTCATGAAGCTTGTTCTTTTTAGCTGAACTTCTTACACAATTCGTATTTTTTTTCTTTTCTCTAATATGGAGAGAAAAGGAAGAAAGATAAACTGTGCAAGAAGATAAACTGTTCAGATAAGACAGACTTATAATTACTCTTCTTGCATCCAATGTGCTTCATTCAATACATTTCTATAAAGTTCAATATAAAGGACTATGTCCAATTTTATAGGGGAATTTGGGCCCCCCGGATGAACAACTTTGAGACATGCCTAAAATTTTAAGGTATCAAAAGAGAATCAAAAATTCTATAAGACTAACTTTATAGGAGAGGTTTCCTAAACGCTCCTAGAACACACATATATTAGCCACATTTCAATTAGGCAATTAAAACCTTTTGTTTCATACTTTGAGTGCCTCTCTCCCCTCTTCATCGATTAATATATATCACTTATAACTATTCATTTGGGGTCCAAAAAAGGTTTTAGTTGTCTTCGTCAAGATTGGACATATTCCAGATACTGGAGAAATCGAATAAAACCAGTCCTATGTGGTACACAATACATGGTCATAATAGCGAACTTTGAACAGCTGTAGCACTCAAGGGACTTATTTTACAAAGTTGTACATATGGAACTTTTTAATCCTTTTTTGATGCTCTACAATCCTAGCCAAGTCTCAATGCTGTTCAGCCGGAGCTCAAACTGGGCATAGTCCTTTTACACATATATGAAATTTAATCAGAAGTAGCACAACAAAATACTGATCAAAGGATTAATTTTTTCTTTCCAGTTTGACAAATCTATAACATTTAACAAAGTTTACAGAGTGAATATAAAAAGTAGACAACCACCGATCGCGATAATTGAAAAGCAATTTAAATGTTAACAATGCACTTCGATATTTACTTCGATATATTCATTTGTTTAAATATTCATATTCCGATATCGGAAAGTAAGATAATAGCGATTGTTAATACGAAACAATCTGCTCTTATTTGTTTCGAACGAATAGGCCGTTCGCGTCGCGTTGAGGGACGGGCGCGTCGTCCGCGCGGGTGCGGGGGGGAAGTGATACGAAGGCATCACCTCTGGGGCCGGTAATTCAGGCATGTTCGAAACGTCCGCGAGCGCATCCTCGGCTGCGGCGTCCTCGCCATCGGCGTTAGAGCCGGCTTCAGCATCGTCGACTTCCGAGTCGTGCTCGCTGGAAATATCTTCCTCGTCGTATTCTACTTTGCGCGACTTGGGACGATTCTTCGCCTTGCCGCTCGCGGTTTTTCGCTTGGTCGACATCGTCGCAGTCGTGCGACCGGGACGCGTCGTGTCCGTGTCTGGAATAGGCGTCGCGCGATCCCACGCGATCCTTCCTCCACTCTCCACCTGCTCTTCTTCTTACGCGGGTGGTAAGCGGTGCAAGGACCAGGTGGATAATTCTCAGCAATTCTCGGCGGCACTTTACGTTGTTGGCCGTTGCGATGACATTTATCGATGTAATGGCGCTGAGGGAGCCGCGCCGCCCCGCGCCGTCGACAGTAAATCGACAACAAAAACGCGGCCACCTGGCGCTCAAAAATCATAATAAAACCATGCTCCCGCGATAAGTATATAGTATATACTTTATACGCGAGAATCGACGCGACACCGCAGTTTATGACTGTAAATCGCCGGGGGGCGCGCTCCGTGTTCCTGAACGTTCCGCTCGGCCGGAACGCGCAGAATCGGACTCGCGATTCGAGCGGGAAGATTCAACGGCTTCAAAATTGACCATTCCGATCGTGATCGAGACTTCCGCATTATTGTAGTGTTCTTATAATAAGAGTAAAGCTGGAAACACAATGGGTACAGGCAACAGGGAATAACGAGCCGTTCAATCAGAGCTCTGGGATATAATATCGAACTTATACCCTTTGATTGGACAGTTCGTTATTCCCTGTTGCCTGTGCCTATTGCCTGTGTCTATTGTGTTTCCAGCTTTAAGATAAATGAGGTCGCGACTTTTAATTGATTATCAAAATCCGTCATATATAACAGTTAAGACAAACATGAATTTTAAATATAACATTTAAAAGTGTTAAAATAATTTATAAATGAAGTTACACAACTCTAATAATATGCGTCCAATTCAATATAATTAAATCAATCGTTAGTTTGAGAATTATTTAAACAATATTCAATTGATAACTGGAGATTGTAAAAGAAATGATAAGTATAAATAAATATTTCTAGTAAGCATTTTTTATTTGAATTATAATGTCTTATTAAGTATTTCCATAGTATTTACTACAAGATTTACAATAAATATTTCATAATATTTATAATAAATGTTTATGATCTGAACAAATGTTTATGATTTGAAATAATCCATTTTGTGTAACCACAAAAATATTTACAAAATATTTAAAATAAGCCTCATAAATATTTATAAATATTTTATAAATATTGTGTGCTGTCTGGGTATACTGTATGTAATTTTGATACATTGCTTTTTACATTTTATTAAATCATTATGCGAATTTACAATCTTATTAAACAAATGAATAATTGAATTTTTTTTAACTTTCTGAATTCTAAAAGCTTACTTGCTCTTATCTTGCACATCAATTGTCATTCGAGAAGAGTGCAAAGATGAAACAGACAAGATCTAAAGTTATAGTATGCTATTGTTTAAATATAGATTAAGCATTAATCGTGTAATAATGTAACAAATCTTAATAGATTACATTCATAGGCGCCGACTACGGGAAGGTAGACCACTTTTTGCCCCTCCAAAAATTTTATTGAAGGAGCAATGCCCCCTCAATAATTTTTATCTTTTGGTTTTTTAACAAACGGTGTTTTAACAATTGCAAATAATTTCTGCGATCAAAACTGTGAGAAAACATCGGCCACATGACATATGTTATATATAATGTTGACGCGGGAAATTAAAAGTGGTGATGCTCGCGCTGGCACGTCGTCTGCTGTCATAGTGTATCATTACATTCTTGTTGTTCGTCAATGTTAAACAAGGATGAGATGATTATTGTGTTGTACTGATTGTGAGTCGCTTGTTGAGGCGTATTTTGATTTCCATTAGAGTGCTCCTCGGATGTCATTTCATCCTTGTATAACATTTGTTAAACAACAAGGATGATATGACACCCGGGGAGCACTCAGGTGGGAATCCGAAAATGCCCCTAGAAGGAACCCCTAGTGTACCTGCACATATACACGTACCAGAGAGAAATCTGAGAGAGGACATGAGTGTCTTTTTCCTGTAACCACAAAATACCTTGTGCACTACAATAGTCTTCTGAAGAAGTGAATGTCAACTACACAACGTTATCCATTTTTTTGCGATGCTCTTGATGGAAATAAATCGTTAAAATTTTCACTAATTTGATAAATTTCATTTATTTCAGCGATTTATTTCTATCAGTAGCACCGCAAAAAAATGGATATTGTTGTATTTCTCCCTAATATTTCTCGGTGCCCCGCAATATTTTTCGCAAGTCGGCGCCTATGATTACATTAATTGCATTTCTGTAAATTATATTACACAATATAATTTAATAAAAGTAACACAATGATAACGTGAAGATTTTATGAATTTGCCGCCGGTTATAAAACATACGTAGCGTCCATCTCTATCCGTTTATTCGATAGATTGCAACAGGAAAAAATAGGACATTGTAGCGTTCACGGACTATTAATAAAAGCGAAATAAATAGAATTAGATTAATGCAAAAATTATATAATCGTAAATGTTAATAGCCAATATAGAAACTTTTCTAAGCCTTGCAAAAAATAAAATTGTTAATAATTTGGAAAAATTAACTTCACATATAAAATAATCTTCCAACTCTTTCTTCTCTCTGATATAATTGGAACGGCACTTAAAATCTTGTAATTCTTTATTTCATTATTCATTTTGGCTAAATTTTATAATATGTAAATCATATATATTTTAAAATAATTTTAATTTCTTTGCTCAATTATTAAATTCAAATTTTTTGGAATTTGTATTTTCCCAAGTTTTGAATCTTTATTTTTGCAAAAATAAGATATCGATGCTACTTTAAAATAATATAAAGAATAAAACTAAAAGTGACTGAAAAGTCGTAAATTTTCGCTTACAAGGGAACCTCGCGAAGTGTCAAATTCTGATTTTAATGAAACTTTGTATACAAATACGTTACGTAAAAATAAATGAATTTAGAAAATATCAGAGAAAATTATTAAGAGATAATGGAGCAATTTGAAAACCAGATTTGTATTCACAGCATCTAAAAACCTCTCTGTAGGAAATGACTTATAGTCAGTTCTGATGCTTTTTTCGATTGAACTATATTATAATTGAAATACTTACATTGGTAAACATCATTACATTGACGGGAGAAAAAAATGCGTTTACAGTCATTGGTTTTTGCATCATTATTAGAATAACATTTGTTCTCACATGACGATCGAGACTAGAATTAGGCCATTTGCCAAAATATATTCCTTTACGAAAATCCTCGCCCTAAATATATGTATTCAAAATAGACAATTTTATGTTATATAATAATCATTTTATCAGATTATAAAAACTTACCGCATTTGTGAGAAAAGTGCCATGCCATGCGTATATAAATGTTTGAAGTAGTTTTATTACAGCATATATTAGAGACGAGGACACGTTGTAAAAATTAAACTTCGGTAACTATTGTAAACATTTACGATTAATACTATGTATGTCAGTGAATATTTGTATAACGCAATACCATTAGCAGAATAGAAAATTTACTAACGCAATGCAGTCTTTGATTCTATATTTTGTGACAGATTACGACTGCACACAGCACACACTAGACTAAGCACCATAAAATCAAACATCTCATAACATTTTACAATAATGTGTTTTATACATACTGATATTAGGTCGTACATCAACGCGCAAAGAAGCACGGCATTGGTGACAATATGCCAAAAGACAATGGGTCCATAGACGTGCTCTAACGTATTGCGACATTGCAGTAGCTTCTGATGTTTCACCACGCATGTTCTCAGGATATCCGAGAACTTCTCGGTGGACAGAGGATTCGTGAGAGCGAAGGTCATGGCCCGTATTATTGAGCTAAGCTGATAAACATAAAAGCCAAAAGCACTGTCGACACTGCACGTCGTCATGGTGCTGAGTATTGTCAAGCCTGTCTCGTAGAATAGATGTAGATGATATAAACAATTGTGGGGAATGGTCCAGAACCATCCCAGTCCCCTGCTAAGCGGCAGGGTATAGTTCGTGGATGAATGAAAGTAGAAAAGATTGCGGATTACAACGATATACGGAGATGCAAAAAATGCGAATATTATTCCTACCAGAATGGCGAAATATGTATATGCCAGGGTATATATCGTGCGTAGGGACGAAAATAGTATCGTCTGGATTTTTTCATTTTGCTTAAGCTCTTCCTCGAAAAGATTATTCAGCGTCCGATGATAATTTATCAGAGAATCACGATTTATCATGAAGCTTACCACCTTAAAAAACCAGAGATGCAAGAATAATATTTATTGAAATAGTGTTTATAAAAAGATCAATGCACTAGCTAAATATTTTTCTTTTTTACAAATTATTTCTGTTGCAAATTTTTATTTTGTTCGATTTTACATAAATATATTTTTTAAGGAATGTTAACATATATGTACGTAAAAATAAAAAATGTAAAGAAGAATTTATTTTTTAAATTAGTCGAAAAATGTAATTTTGCAATCTGTGTTTGATTCTATGAAGTTTAATGCATGAATATATGTATTGTATTATACTATATTATATTAAATTAATCATTTTATACATGTATCTTCACATTAACCTCTACAGGACCAGAAGCCGATATATCGGTTTTTGACGACTTAAATGAATTTTGTGGAATTTTTATTTTTTGCAGTACTTCAGTATCTCATACAAATAATAATTGATATCGAAACTTCCTGCCTATTATGAAGGAGAAGAGGGAGGGAGGGAGAGAATATAATTAGCCTGCTTGAGCCTGTCGAAGCCCCTTATTATAGTTTGTTATAGAAGATCGTTACAAACGATCGATTTTCAGCAGTCGCACTGTACACAATAGACACAAACTTTCTATGCTGTTTCATGTTTGTATATTTGGCGTAAATAATTTTTTCATGAAAGTATAATTCACTATAACCCACCAAAATTTTTCGTACATAATGTATTTTTTAATTCCTGTTCATTTTATTATATCAAACGAAATATGTAGTAACATATTTCAGAGTGTCAAAAAGTAAATAACAATCCTATAAGCGCATAATATTATTTAATATGAAGTAATATTTTAGACATATTCTTAGAGTATTAAATGTAACATTTTAAGAATATTTTATTAAAATTATATAATATTACATGAAATTCTCGAAATATTAATGGAAGATTATATGTCCATTCCTGATAATATTATACGATTATTAAAAGTAACATTTATTTAATATGTAGTAATACATACGTTCTGGAGTGACGCTATCTTTTACGTAAATCGGTGCAATGACGTAGTCTCAAAAAAATTCTAAAT